TAAGTAGAATTAAATGGACCTCTTTCTAAATTCTCTTTGTGAATTTGTATGGATGCTATTAAGGCAAGTGTATAGATAAAAGCCTAGTGATGCTCAAACACTTGTCCTTTTGCCTGCCCTGCATCATTCTTTATAAAATTATTCATCCATATTTAAAGAAAAATAATTCACTCCACCATCCATTTTCCCCAACAGTGTTTTGATATTTGCTGGACATTTATTTGCATTCTTTTAAGAATTCTTCACTGGCCTCAATCACTGAATACGCAAGTCCCCACCTTGCCATCCCCTCCTCTCCTCCTCCACAGGCATCTCACCTGTAGAAATCCCTTGTCTTTTCATAAGAAAAGCATTAATGCGCATCACATCCCCCAACACTTTGTACTCCAGGAAGCCATATGAAAGCCTTTTCTAATTGACTACTGACATTTTGTTTAATGAAGAGAGAGAGAAACAGACCAGCTGCAGCTATTAGAGAGGCAGAGTATTTAAAGACAGTTTTACTCTTTTACAAATAAAAAAGACAAAGTCTTGCATGTTTTAGAAGCTTCCCTGTCTATGCACACCTGAATTAAATAAATGTGTGATTAGCAGGCCCCTGCAGCCTACTGGCTGCTGAGGAGGATTGCAATCATTTCATGCAGGTGTGCTTGGATAGAGAAACATCTTAAAACGCAGAACAGTGGGTCCTGAGGGCCGAGTTTGAAAACTACTGATTTAAGGAGTTTTCCAATGTAACAATTCAAGCTTCCAATAGATAAAGATGCTTTTTCTCTAAGTCACCAACAGTATATTTGAGCACTCAATAAAAAGATGAGTGAAAAAGGAAAACTACATTAATTGATATATATTGCCTGTCAGATTAGCTACCAATGCCTAGTTCCATAACTCAATGCTAAGCTAATATTCTAAAAAAAAAAAAAAAAAAAAAGTAGGTTGATTTAAACCAATATTGTGTAACTTTCAGCTTCTAGGGTCATGAGATCTGCATCTTCTAGGCTTCTAGGTTTTGCATCTGTTTGGTCGGCTAACAACAACTTTTAGCATAGTAGCCTATGCTCTCATGTTTAAGGTGTTACTTTAAGGGGTTATTTTAAGGTTTTCAGACAGAGCTCTGGGTAGTTCAATCACAGATCTTTTCCCTGTTTCTGGCCAGCCCATATGGAGCATGTAGCAATGTGCATGTAGTTATATATTAACCTAAAAAAATAATATATCTCAAATAAAGACAATACCCAAAAAGTACAGTGTTGCTTTAACAAACCTTTAAAAAAAAAAAAAAAATCAAATGTTATGTGGTTTAAGCGGTACAATCCCCCCTTTTAATGTAGCTAGTGGTTTGATTATCAATGGACATGTTTGTTATTAAAGCAATTATTCAAATTTGAGGCTTGGACTGCACAGACAGATGGATTTGCACAAGGCAGTGAGGATTTTTCTTTGTCATTTTTTATATAGAACCAACAAAATATTGCAAAAACTAAAGAGTTTCCCAATCAGTCAAAAAATAAAAATATTAAACAGACTAGTAAAGCATATAATAAATGTAATATACTTCCCTGATGGCAGGAGCTGTAAAATACTGTTTATTAAATCAAGATAGTTGGTTTATTAGAATGTTCCTCAAATATTGCTTTATTCTGGTCCCTTCTAGTAGTCAAAAAGCCATAGCATCTTATGAGCAGTCTGTATTGCTTATATCTGAATTAATTTCATGTGTTAATATAAATACTAAAAAAATAACCTCAGGCTCAGAAGCAGATAAGAAAAAAGATTCTGCATTTTAGAAGCCTATATCATAAACATACAACCTGTATTTCATCACTTTATTATTTATTATTCTACAGAACAGAAACTCTTTCTAAAGCCCTGAAATGAAAAACGTTCAGTAATATTAAATTAACTAGATGGAACGTTTAGTGGAAAATTAGACCTATTTACTCTGTGGTTTTCTCCAAATATATAGACAAGATCCTGACAAACTGTTATATTAAATTATCTTTCAATCAGATTATATCTGGAGATAGGCTGGATTCGATTGAGAACAAAGGTACATAGAAAATTCCTGTCAATAATAAAAAGCAACAATATTTGTTTCATAAAATGTTAAGACATTTAAAAAATGGAATTGAATTAATCACAGATTAAGTTAGTTGATGGTATCAGTTTTCATGCCACAACAAACTTCCCCCTTCCTCCAAATAGGCACAAAACAGGGGTGGAAAAAGTTTAATGAGCAACTTGGAAAAAGGAGACATAAAAAAATCAAACTGAATTAGTGTCCTGGAAAAACAGATGCGGAAACATGCTGCTTGTGAAACTCTCCTTGCAAGTCCCTTCATTTCATTTAGAAATGATCCCAACTTTCTGGGCAAATGAAAGACCTGGCCTAGAAAAACAAAGTTATGTAAAAAATAAACCTCATGTCCAGTTGCCTAGACTGAACTTTTTCAAGATTCACCATGACCTGGATGACTGAGAATCTTCACAGGTGTGAATAAATCTGTATTTTCAAAGTGCTTATAGAAAATGGATAGTTCACCTTACATTTGAGACATTTACTTCTAAAGCGTAGTCAGTCCCTAATTTAACTCTGTCTGCATTGTTTTTATGTGTTACAATGACCCAGGTTTCTTGTATAATAATCCAAGTATCTATCTGCTCCAAAATCTTTATCAGTATAATGTCAGGGAAATCATCTTAAAGGCTTTGTGTATATAATAGTAAACTTAAAAGCAAAGCTAAATGTAAGCATCAAGGTCAGCATTACACAAGATTAATCCAAAACAACTATAATCCTTTCAGTAATTATCTGTGTTGATGTCTTTGTCTGATGTTATAATTACTTTCCTCTGCTACATTTCACATGGAGCCTTCATTTCGGAAGATCTACTGTTTTGCATTTTTCTTTCAAAAATCTACTTATTATTTTTACTATTTTCACCTAAATCAACTCAGCGTAGGTTGTACCTTGGCTTAGGTACAGTATTGTTAAATGTTTTAAAATCTAACAAGATTTTTTGTCATACCTCTTCACTCAATTTCATAGATGCAAACAATAAGTGTTGCAACAAAGAGAAGCTTAACCTAAATTGCTGATATAGGTATCCTATTTCATTGTGCTTTCATAGATTATGGTTTCTGAAGTGTAGCTACAGTTGCAGCAAAAACGGAAAGACCTCTGTGCAGATACATACTTCAAGGTAAATGCTATTATGTGAGAACCTTAAAATAAATATTTTTTTCCCTTCTCTTGGCTGGTAAATACAGAGTATTTATGCTACCTGTTACTTTTCATGTTTTTTTTGTGTGGGTTGGCACACACCCTGTGTACTGTCAAACAGTACAGTGGCTAAATGTAGCCCTTTATATAGACCCACAGTCTGGTTACAAGATTGTAGATACCTGGGATTTCTGTGTAAATTCTTAGTCATCCTGGCCATAACAACCACAAAACAGTCCCGTTGCATCTGATTTAGGGCTGTTTTATGGATACTTGTCATGCAAATTACTGGTCACACCTTGATTTCTCTTGTCCCTCTGGTCACATTGTTTTCATTCTTGTTTAGGCTTACCATAAAGTTTTCCAAGCCTGTTTGATGAGTTTATTTCTTTCATAGTATCAATGTATGCATCTTTTTATGTTTCATGTGGCAAGATTCCATTTTTTTTCCTAAAAGTATAATGGAGGATTTTTGTAAAATTTTTGAAAAGACCCGCCCTCTATCCTTTAAAAAAATGCACTTGCACAACCTTTACCTGCCCCTGAGAGGGAATGTTCGAGAGCATGCACAAGCCCATTTCTCCTTGTGCACACTCTGTTTACAAGTTACTGTTTGCATCACTCATACAAGCTTACTTTCCAAAAGAAGATTAGCAATTTCTCCATTATGCCAGACTCGCCACCAGTAAAGCTGAACATACACTGTACGATTTCTTGCGCTTTTAGGACCGATTCTCCATGCGATCGGGCATAGGTTCAGCTTCATTGTGAATCGAGTTGTATGCAGGGAGTAACGAAGGGTGAGAAGACTCTCACGACCACCTGCCGATCAGGAATTGTAAGGTCGGGAGAAAATCAAACATGTTTGAAATTCAATCAGCTGTCGCAAGATCACATCAGAGCATTGGGCCGCACAGTGTGAGAATATTCATCATGAGCTGTGAACTTTTAAACCCTGCAGTTTCATTGTACAGCTTGAGCTGTAGCTGTGTGCAGCAATTAAAAATTTTTCACAGTGTATGCCCGGCTTAAGTGAAAATGGGGACGAGCATGTGGTCTTACGTAAACATATCACCAGAATAATTGACAATTAGGAGGATCACATATTTCAATGATCCACCCAGAAAAAAACATCCTCTATTACACCTTAAACAGAACTGATTTATGAAAAAAATTTGGGATAGAACCGTTTTTGGGTGTATAGTGCGTTTTCCCACTTGGTTGGTTCCAAGGATATCAAGAGGGATTGTTTATACCGACAAGTACTGTATGTTAAACCCAGCATGTGTACCTGTGAAAGACAAGCTTGTAATTAAAACTCTAAGCTAAAACCTTAATTACTACTGAACGTGAAGTGGTTTTGCATTGGTGTCAAGTACTGGTGGTTTGCGTATACATACCTCCATTAACATGTCTCCACAATTCCAGAAAACAAATAAAATATACTGCTTGTTGACTTCAGTGGGGGAGAAGGTACCCACAACCCCAACCCCCTTCAAACACTTCTTCCACCAAATCACCTTATAATAGCATATTAGGTTTTGTAATTATACAGCATGCAACATGAAAATTTGACACCACAGATCTATCTATTATCTTTAAAAGTCAGATATGTATTTGTTTAAGGGGTTTACTCTTTTTAGAGAAAAAAATAACTTTCATTTACTGTTATCTCTTGAAACCTTTTAAGTATCAAACTTTGTATTCTATTCTTGTTGTGAGGTTTTCCTTTACATAAGCAGGAAGTATATAAAGGTGTAAAAAATGTTTTTCTTACCATAGTTTGGACAGCAGACCTTGAGCCAGCAAACACAAGAGAGCACAGTGAGGTTGGACAGACTACAGAGGCCAAACAGAACACCACAAAAGGCATATGCAGTGCATGTTGTCAGGTTGAATAACCACCTGAACAGAAAGAAAGACAGAAAAGAACATTTATGAGTGACATTTTGCTCAAATAAATGTGTCTGTGCAAGCCAATAAAACATCTTAATCTATATGCTAGTGTGACAGGTAATATATTAATTGGCATCCTGGTTCGGAAACAAGAGACAACGGGCAGACAGTGATGTGTTTTGACTTAAAAGGGGTCTAATTGACAGCTAAGGCTAACATACCAAAGATCTTTCTAAGATCAGAATAAGATGACAGAGATGGTCATTAAATAAATTGGGAGGAACAATTAAGTAGCATGATTTCAATTCCTCTGAAATGTAAAAAAAAAAAAAAAAAAAAAAAAAAAAAAAAAAACATACCTGTGATGTTGGAAGCTATGAGTTGGGTCATCATAGCAAACAGGTCATGATAATGGAACTTTTGGGAACATTCTTTGAAGAGACACTTTTAGTACCTAGCACTTGACTTTATGATTGCCAGTGAATCACAATGATAAATGTTTCATTATGATCATTTTATAAGATCTTTCTCTGAAAATATAAGCACACTGTCCTTTTTGTCTAAGGTCTTTCCCTTTTACAGTATACCTATATTTATAATTATGCTTATTGTTCTTCTTGTAATCTTGATGATAATAATAATGATAATAATAATAATAATATTAATAATATTTTAATTTGTTAGAATTATAGTCTGCTGGAGGAAATATAATGCAGTACGGTGTTGAGCAGTAGGGAGATGGTTACTTTTTACTTTGCAACTGGAGACACACTGTTTCTCAATTCTATTACCAGGGTTTTTTTTTTTTATCATTTTGGTACCTATTTCTCAAAGAAAAAAAAATACAGTAATAATGAAAAGAAATATACAGAATGGATCAATGGTTTTATTAGTTGTTTTTTTTACTAATGTTAATTTTCAATTAAGATGAAAGTAATAGTAAAGAATAGGGTTAATTGAGTTCACCTAAAGTTTGAATGCATGCTAAATAGCTGTTACCTAGTGAGTAACCGTACAGTTCAGTGTATGAACATGACAAAATATCAACGATATGTTAATTAAAAAACGCTTTTTTCTACATCAACAAGAATAACATTTCTTCAGGAGAAAAAAACTCAAATATTCAAGGTTTTTTTCACAGTTTATAAAGCCAGGATGTTTCTGTTAACATAAATACATTGTAGTTAAGTGTCTTGTCTCACTTATCCCACCACACACTCCAAAATAGTGGGAATTAGTTTATGATTTCAGAAATCTAGCGCTTCTTATTAATCATTTTATTGATCATTTAATCGCAATGCAAATGTAAACAAAACTTCAGATTTTTGTTTCAACTTCATTTGGAAGTGAAGCAGCAATCAAATGTCACCAAGTTCATCAAAATTGTGCCATTCGCCTCCATAAATTTGCAACCTTTTCCCTCTACATAGAGATAACATGGGGATCATTTGCATTAGCTACCAAATTCACATTTGGTGTGAATGCCCCTTTACAGTAAGCCCAAAACCTTCTGCTTTACCATTACATTTCTCATGCATATTTTTTTTCCACATTGATATTGATTTCTACCAAGATTGTGTACAATGAGCTCCTTGGCTTCAACACAAAATGTTGTAAAATTAGTTGTGAACAATAAATTGGTGAATTTGTGTTTGACTACTTTGTGGCTAAAGGACTTGGTTGCCTAACACAAAGATGCTACATTTTTAAACTGAATATGAATAAAAGGTAAAAGGGAGCAAAATGTATTTTCAATACAGCAAAATACATTTTCAAAGCAAAAACATTTCATCTCAAGTTATTTGATACTGTTTCAATTTCCTGTGTTGCAAATTAAAAATTACTCTAATAATACAAATTCATTCTGAGCAGTTCAAATGTTAAGTTAGTTAACAATTTTTTAATATATAAAAACATTTGGCAAAATCTGTAAAAATATCCAAAATGAAATCTGCAGTTATTCTCCTTGACAGAAGCACGGGGTCAGGAAGATGTCAGTTTTATTTTGAAGAGGTAGGAGCAGTCCATTGAAAACAGCCAATAAAGCCTTGTGATAGTGCCAAAAGCTAGAATCAATTTATCTGTGACTAAAATAATGTGGAAAAAGATCTGCATACAAGATGAGCTGAGAAACTTAACAAATAGGGCAAAGAAAAGTCATATCTGTCATGATCTGCCCTGATAGTTGACCTTAATTGTTCACTTCATTTACCTGCTTAACTCTGCTCGGTTCTTAATCATCATTCATCTTATTCACCTGCGTCTCTTACTTTATATTCGGCTCAGCCCAGCTATTGGGGACAGTAGTTGTTGTAAACTTGCTTCAAGCTTGCATGGGTTTTTGGATATTTACAGAGTTCATGTTCCCGTCCCAATAGGCCAGTGGGTTAAAAAGGGTTTTAGTGTTTTCTCCGGATCTTGTCCTGGCTTCTAGGTGGAGACCAGTTTAAAGTTCTGCAGATTTCCTGGTACCATGTCTTGTCTCTGTCCCCCAACCACTGAGCCTGCCTGTCTGTGCATGTTTACCTGAGATCGCTGCTGGACTCATGGAACTATGAAATTGCCTTCTAGCTCTGTGGATTCCTGGAACCCTGGATCTGTCTGTTCCTGCGGAACCCCTGTCCAGGCTGCAGACTCTTGGACTCCGGAACTGTTCCTGTCTGATCTGAATCCCTGCCTGGATCGGATTCCTGCCTGCTCACTGAGGTTGCTGCATCTAGGACACTCTGGGCAGCCCTGCACCGCAGCTTGTTTGGCAGTTCATCAGCTGTATCCTGCCTTCTTCAGAGAAATTTTCAACATCTCACTGGTGAAATATAAAGTGCCAACCTGCTTCAAATCCTCAACTATTATCACTGTTCCAAACAAGCCAAGGTCTAGCACGTGAAACTGGGAAAACATGTCTCCGACTAACAGATCATCAACTATGGTACCCCCCTATCGCTGTGTTCTTTATCTTCTGCTCTTCTCCTTGTACACCAGCAGCTGCACCTCTAGTCATCAGTCTGTCAAGCTTCTGAGGTTCACAGATGACACCACTCTCATCGGACTTATCTCTGATGGTGACGAGTCAACCAACAAGTGGTAGGTTGACTTAGTGGAGTTTGTTGTGGACTTCAGGAAGAACTCAGCCCCAGCTATCCCCATTACCCTCTGTGACTCCACAATTTACACTGTGGAGTCTTTCTGCTTCATGGAAACTATCATCTCACAGGACCTTAACTGAACCTCAAATCCCTCACGAAGAAAGCCCAGCAGAGGTTGAAAAATTTCCAACTGCCAAGGAAAATGATGGCGCAGTTCTACTCCTCCCTCATTGAGTCCATCCTCACCTCTTCCATCATCATCTGGTAGGCTGATGCCACCGCCAAGGACAAGGGCAGACTGCGGTCATCCAGTCTGCAGAGAAGATGAATGGCTGCAATCTTCCATCTCTCCAGGATCTGTACGCCTCCAGGACTCTGAGGCATGCATGGAAGATTGTGGCTGATGCCTTGCACCCTAGCCACAAACCATCAGGACCAAAACCTCCGGCCACAAGAGCAGTTTCTTCCCATCCGCTACCAGCCTTATCAACAAGGCCCACAGACCCCCATGGCACTGACACTGCCTCTCTTCCACCCCCGTTTAAGACCTACAAGCTACACCAATGTAGCATCTCCAGACCAACTGTGTTACATTAACGCACAGTCTAGTGTGTATATAGTATATAGCTATTTTTGCTATATATTGTATCTTGTTTATTGTATGTTTTATATTTTATAAAGCTTTAGATTTTGTATTCAGTATATGTATTGAATTTGTCTGCACCAATAAATCCAAATCAAATTCCTACTTGGCGATATATCTGATTCTGAAGAATGGATATGATAATATGATTGCAAGTCTGCAGCTTCTGCAGAGCTCTGCTGCTCGCTTACTCTCCCAGACTAGTGGACACGTAGTGCCCCTCCCCCACCACCACTTGTTCCTTGTGCACTGCAAGAACTAATTTTAAGCTTCTATTTGTTTTTCAATGTTACAACAAACTTGCTTGACCACTTTTTCCGAGCTGCGTCATTGCAACTGCTCACCCTGATCTCTTAGATAAGCTGATTAACTGATGCTGACAAAACTAAAACTAGGCTGAAGCTCAGAGCTTCCAGAGCATTCGCTCTAAATTATGGAACAATTTAACGTTAAGTGTCTTAAAGGCCTCCTCTTCTCCTGATTTTAAACCTTGGCTTTTGACACACGGTGATTTTTTTTTGTATGGCATTTTAAAATATGCCCACTGTGAACCTGGCTTTTATATCTATTTTTAAAATATTTTCTCCCATCCTTCTTGCAAAGTACAGCATTTTCCCCCCATGCGTTTTAAAAAAGCGCTATAGAAATTGGTTGACTGATGATATTAAAGAACAAATACTTCAAAAGGTTCTTCTGTCTTTGACCATATTTTTTATATATGGGCTGGGGCAGTTTCTAAAAAGGAAAAAAAAATCTGATAATAACCTGAAGATCAAAATTAAAAAGCAGAAATCTTAAGCTGTCTTTGAATTTTGTTTTGAAATTTAAGCGATTCATGCATGATTTAAAGCAGATTTAAAAATCAAGCTCCATACTAGACATTAAGGCTTTTTTTAGTAAATTTTTATTTTTCCTTTTTTAATTCTTAATATAAACCTGGAAAGCTTTAATATAAGACAGTTTTGCTTGGTCTCAACCAAAAATACACTTTATTAGCCAAAATTAAGTATAGACTTCACAAAGACTTGAATAACTGAGTGGGCCATGTACCTTGATGCTGAACTCAGGTGGGTTGCTTAGAGAAAACTCCAAACAACATATTTAAGCTCAGCTGAAATTTCACCCTTCCAATAGGAGAAGCTATGTAGTCTCTAAAAAAATTTTCTAACCTCAGATGAGACAAATATAGGGTAAACTGAATTCACTGACAAGAAGAATATCATTAGAAACCAAGGTGAGGCTTTTAAATATGAATAAACTGACAGGCATGTTGATGGAAGCAATATACTAAGAGTCAATTTCACTCCCAGTGGTACCGTTACATTCCACGGAGTAGCTAGAATAATGGAAAATGGGTTCTGCTCCCAAATGTTTAACTTAATTTCAGATCAACAGCAGGTCCATTGAAATGTGTATATGACACCTTAATTTCTCAGTAAGATTAAGATCCAAAATAAAGGTTTAAAAAATGGTAGGATATGCTAGAATATAGCTTCTGGAATGGGCTGCCCAGTGTTTAGAAATCAATCCTATTAGACATGGGTGTGCTATGTATAAAGGCATATCTAATAATTATAAAACAAACATGTTTTGAAAAATATTGTCCAATTCAGATAATAAAACTCACATGTGAGCATAGGCTGAAGGAATGGCCAGTGGAAAAAGAGTTGTAGTCATGCTTAAATCACTGATTGCCAGATTTACGACAAAGAACTCTGCTGGCTTTAGGGAGGACTTCTTTCTATAGGCCACAAACAGCAGGATCCCATTCCCCAGAATGGACAATACACCTGGAAAACAGAGAGGTAAAATAGCAAGTAGGAGCCACCTGACATATAAAATAATCAAGCATGCGACATTTAATTGACCTACCAAAAATCGTGTAGAGTGTTCCCATGATGAAGTCATTGTCTTTCGATATTCTGGACACGAACAGAAATATTTCAGAGGCATTTCCCATCTTAAGTGAAAGAAAAAGAGTACAGGAAATTAGAGTATATAAAATCTATTGCAATATGAATCTGCCAATTTTGTCAGCAACAACCCAAACAATCCTCAAATCCAAACAATCCAATTTGGAATTTTACATCAGATAGGTAATGTATGGGGAAAAAAAGGAAACAGGAAGGGCAAAGCCAAAAACCAAAAATATTGTATTCTGTCAGTATTTACAAAGGATTCCTGATGTGCAAATCAGTGTCAGCTGATTTAATAGTTACTGATAACCAGCTAAAATAATTATTTCCACCAAGGTACTAGGAGAAAAAAATGTTTAAAGAGGCAAAGAGACCTTAACAAAACTGTCTTACTATAGCAAAACATACTTATTTTACCATTGACAATCCACAACAAGCCACAATGCATTTAGCTACTAACATTACTATTAACACTGACTGCACATGACTCTGATGGAAAACATATATTAAAGCTTATTGTTTGTGCACAATACTTGGACAAGCTGGTTGATATTGTAAAATCTGGTGAGATTAGGCCAAAGGTGAACTATTTGACGTTATCGCAAACACAAGGTTAGTTAAAGGGAGGGTTTTGCATGTGACCCTATAAGCACAGTGATGAAAAATGAGGCTTGTAGGCAGGAATATGGTTTGGGTTGTCTTACAACATGTGGTACTAGAAGACTTCATATAATTAAAGGGAGTACAAATGGAGACATATGCTTGAAACTTCCTAATATAAGTGAATTTGAAAACAAAACAATGGTTCTAACTAGACAGCCTGTTAAACTCTACATTGTTTTCAGAGACTAATGGTAAGATTGCTAGAATGGGCCCAGTAATATTTTTTTTCGGATAAAAATTGCAACACAGTATACTATATTCAAATAACATTCGCCTAGGGTGCCCCTCATTAGCCTTGTGAGACCATCCTGATCTCGCGAGCTTTCAAGGTTTCACTCGCAGATCAGTCTGGAGACTCTCGGTTGAAGAAAATTTGGAGCCGTTCACCAAACGAACGTCCAATCAGCATTGGCTTTGAGGCGGGTTGAGGTGTGACGCAACGAGAAGCGCGACAGTTCAGTCTAAAGAACATGGCGGCTTCAGCCGATGAAACTAGCATTAGCGTGGCTATCGAGCAAGTTTTATCGGAATTACAGAGTATTTCTTCACTGAAAGAAGAGCAAAACACTGCTCTGGAGGCTTTTCTCAGAGTAAAAGATGTTTTTGCTCTTCTCCCGACTGGTTTCGGCAAGAGTTAGCCTGGCTTGTAGTTATGTTTTCGTCGTCGCTCTGTTAGTACGTCATATGCTTCGTTGCTCTGAATGGTTTATTTGACCCGTCTATCACCAACAAAGGCCAATCAGCTAACCAGCATTTTCGCCCCTTCCCAAAATTTCTTCAACAGAAGGTTTCCAGGTGGATATGCGGAGCAAATCCATCTGGCGGAGTCAGGTTAGCCCCTCATGGGATTGCATGAAATAAGACTAATCTACTATTGTTAGAGGAGCAACTCACTAGTCATATACAAAGATAGATGTTGCTGTCAGCTATTTTGATACCAGTGAATTGAGTATTTCTTGCATTTTTATATGAATGATGATCTAAAATATAAATATCTAATTATCTATGTTGTGTTATGTTCTTGCTGTATCACAGAAGAGTTTTTATATTTATATGTCTATATGCTCAAAAAATGCTGCTGGAGGAATTTTTAGACTTAATTAAGTCTGTTAACCTGATCCAGTCAGCAACTGGCTAGCTCAAGTGGTAAGTCACCTGTCCTGCACCCGGGGGAATGAGCTGTCAGTGTGGGCACTAAGGCAAGACCCTTCAAGTGATACCTGCTTTGGGGTGTGGCGGCATAGTGGTTGGGGCATTGCACACAATGGCAGCCCACTGCTCCCCAAGGGGTTAAATGCAGAGAGTTTTAGATAATACAAAATATGTATTTAGCTGGGATGCTCAGTGGAACAGGGGGTAGCACGGCTGCCTTGCCTTGCAGCAAGAATGATTCACGGCCCGGGGAGTTTGCATGTTCTCCCTTTGCATGCATGGGTTCTCTTCAGGTACTCCAGCTTCCTCCCAAAGTACAAAAGCATGACTGTTAGGTTAATTGGCTAGGTTTTATTTAAATAGGTTATTCCTCCTGAGGTTTTCACTTTAAACAACTTTTAACTAAATCACGTCCCCTTGTTTGTCACTGTGGGACTTTTAATACATCCTCTGCTATGCAATTTTCTGTAGCATTTAATCAGTTCCCTGTCCCTTCTGAGATGCTTGCTTTTGGAGTATAGGAGCTCATCTCTTGGTTTAACTGGCCAAGTAAAACACTCCTATACTCTGAAGATCCCCTAAAAACAAACCGGCCTAGGTCTAAACCAGAGCCTTGGTTTAATGTGAGAACCAGGGCTGGGAGAAGGGAATGTCACCAAGCAGAACGGATGTGGAAAAAGGTAAACAGCATGGGTTACATTATATCATGAAGGAGTGCTGGCATCATTACCGAAAAAAAACAAAAAACTTTTCTGGTTCTGGAAAACAGACATAATCTTTTCATTCTGTTCAACATAATTGACTCATTCTCAACCCTCCCTTTGTCTCGTGTTTGGAAAAAGTTGAGACTTGCTATAACTTTTTTAATATTTAATTGAAGAGGTGTCCATCACAACGGCTCTAATCACACCTCCTAACGCTGATCCTTCGGTTGCAGCTCTTTGATCTGTTTTTTAGATGGTTTGAGCCTGCAATTCACTCTTTTCTAAAGGTTTTGTCAACAGATCAGAAACCTCCAGGTTCTACATTGGATTCTCTCCATTCATGATTCTTTAAGGATTTTTTTTCTTGTATTTTATGAATTGTTTTTACCATTGTTAAATTTCATCCTCAGTTCTGGTTTGGTCCTTACTAAACTTAAACAGCAGTTACACTTCTAATGAAGAAACCAGGACTAAATCACTCTATATGTTATCCTATTATAGCCCTATTTCTAAGCAACCAATTGTTTTGAAAGTAAAAGTCTTGGAAAAAGTTTTCTCTCAGCTAAAACATCTGGATGAAACTGACCTCCTTTAAACAATTAAGTCTGGGTTTAAGGTACAGACTCATTATTACTATGAGACTTGCTTACTATGATACTCTCCTTGCATGTGATTCTGGTCACTATACCTATTTGGTTCTGCTTGATCTAACAATTATTTTTGACACTGTTGACCATCATATCTTGATAGCAAATCTAAATCAATTAGTCGGTATCCAGCATGCTGTTCTCGACTGGAAGAGATGGTATCTGACTAAATGACCTTTCTGCATCGAAATTTGTAACGCTGAATTGTCTGGTGTTTCCTTATCCTACAGGGTCCCACAAGTCTCAGTTTTATGGTCCCTGGTCTTTGTATGCATTTGCTGCCATTCAGTTCCATACTAATAACACATGGGATCAATTTCAAATCAATTTGCCCCACCAACTTGGGTTTTAAGCAGTACAGTGACCCAAGGTAGAGCTACAGAGTTGGATTTACTTGTGACAAATCTTTAGCCTGGAAACTACATTACTAATCTATGGCTATCATTCTCTGCTGATCTTAGTGACAAAGGAAAGCCTTCTAAGCAGATGGCTGATTGATCATCTTGGCTACTCATCAGTGTCATTCCTTTCCATCTCCATTCTGGGGTCTCTGTATGAACAGCACACTTCTACCTGCAGAAGTCTCAGCTTTACACCAACTTCTCGATGCAATAAGTTATAATACACAATTGTTTTTTTGTTTTGTATTTTACTTGGGAAAATATATCCTCACACAACTATAGAATGTATAACTCATATGCACAAAATATCTTAATTTCTTGCCTTTTGTGCTTTGTGAAAATAACTTAGGGGCTTGGGATAACTCATCATCCCCTTTCATTATTGATCAAAACTTTTTTCTTCTTTGACACTTATCTGGATGAATGTTAAAGGGATTTTCTACAGAAAGGTTAATGCAATTTTTACATCTGCAATTCAATTACTATGAGTATAATCATTTAAATGTGAAAATAACCCAGATTTCAAGTGCCTGAATACTGAAATAAAGGCAGTGAGATTAATTATCGCTGGTATTATTGAAAGTTAAATGTGGAGAAGATGTGTTAATTTCTGGGATTTCAATACTTCGTACTTTTTTTGGTCCAAGCAACAGTATTGCTGACTAAATTGTAGTAAATTGTTCATTAAAAGCAGTTTAGGTCAAAAAACTATAACTAAGATCACCAGACTGAAACAAGACTAAACAGTGACGAAAGTATGTAACTTTTCACAAAAGCCTTTTACTTTTCTTGTCAAATAACTATACATTCTAAAACTTGTATTAATTCTGGCAAAATGTTAATATATTCTGCCCTGTTCAACTCTTTGAAAACACTTTAAACATGCATACACTTTTTGAAGATAGTACCAACATCATGGTCTGATCATGTATCTGCATTATTGAAGATTTGATAGAGGAGGTTTAATTACACAATTTTATTCAATTAAATAGTTTCTTCAATTATGAATGAATCTAATTTCCAATGCTCATGTGATACAACTAATAAGTTATTCTGGGCTCCCAGATGGAGATGTGGACAGCTGAACAGGATGGATAAAACAAGAGTTGTTTGTAGAGTACACAGAGAAAAACGCTGTGATCATGGCTGAAATCAAAGCAAAATTAACTAGCTTATCAAGTTTACCAGCATAACCTTACAAAATATTTAGACTGGCCAGACAGACTGACCTGTGCTATATATAGTACATTGGCATATTAGTGTGGCAAAGAGTCAGAGGAGCCGAATTTCAAAGGCAGGACAAGGCCTTGACTAACAGGGAAGGTATTGTGCATATATGATATATGTAATGCCTTCAACTGTAAGGGTGGAAAATATGTTGTTTAATCAAATCAAAGTTTATTTTGAAGAATTAGGAATGTAAATGAAAATACGTTAACATTATTAATAGAAAGCTGGCTCTTGTGTTTAATGCTGA